TTGCGCTGAAGATGGCTTGATGGAAGCCGAAACGTTCGCTAAGGATTTGATGTAAAGAATATTGGAATAAACCAAGAATATATACGCACCAAGAACTGCGTGGGACTCTTAACTGCCTTTATCATCTGTTTAATATTTGTTAATAAATAATAATGTTATCAGTAATATAAGTAATGCTCGTATTATTCTGTTAACACAGATGGAATTATTAATTAATTTTATCATTTAATATGTGGAAAAAAATTAGAGATAACAAATTATAGATAGAAATTCTGCTGTAAATAATTGTGTAGTTTAAATTAGTTGGAGTTTAATATATAACTTTAAATTCGACTAATTCCAATTAATTTAATCAACAATTTATCAAGAAACTGCATTTGCTAATCTATTTTGTTATCAAGATAAAATGATTTATTTTTATGTAGTTTAACAAAGGAAAATTAAGCATGACGTTATACAATTAAAAATTTTGCTTAGCGCTAACGATATTTAATTAATCAGTAATTAAATTGATCAAACTTTGATCGAAGCCACTTTTAAAAGCTTTGTTAATTTAAGTAATTCAACATTGAACAGCAGTAAAAAAAAGAAATCACAAATTAATCACGATTAACATTGATATTTTTGAGATGTCGCCGATTATGAAAAATCATCGTTTTTTTTATAATCGGCGACATTAATAATCATGATTAATTTGTGATTTCTTTTTTTTTTTACTGCTGTTCAATGTTGAATTACTTAAATTAACAAAGCTTTCATGTAATAATTTATGTAATATATATGTAATAATTCAATTATTCGAACGTCAATTTATATATTTTTTCGGCATCTCGTCCCCCCTGCCTTCACCACCGCAGTCGCGCCACCTGGTCCACTGACGTCAAAGTCGCGGTAGGAGATTGTCAACGCGCGATTAAAGGGCCACTTGTTGTCCACTTACTTCATGACATGGCGCAATTGCTCCATTCGATTAGCCAGAGCCTCGAGCGGTCTCTCAGCCTTCTTCGACAATTCCCTCCATTTGTCATCCAACCTCTCGAGGCGCGCAAAATAACGGACGAGGCACACGTGAAGCTCCCGTGCCATCCCCGAGAGCTTCGAGTGCTGAACGTCGAGGGATCTTCGTCGCGCTCCGGCTGGGGGAAGATCTAGTCTAATTCTCCAAATTCTAGGAAATTCTTCGAAGTCGCAGCGACAGTTGGCGGCGGCGTTCGATCCGCGGGCCCGGATGATTCATGATCGGACTGACCGGCGCAGCAGCCATCTGTACACTTTTCTCGCGTTCCGCGGTTGTCTGCTGCGATCACCTGTCGGACGGAGTTTACGTGCCACTCGGTTCAAACCTGAAGAATCGATCCGGCGAGCCGGATAAAACGAGGGAATAAATTAGAACGCCGGGCGAGCATCGCCGCGCGAAGGGGAAGACCTTTTCCGTCCAGCCAGGCTCGAGATGAGGCTCCGCTGAGAAGAAGACGCGACACCGCTGTTGTCCCCCTCTCGCACGTCCCCGCGTAACGGGCTGTCTCGCTATCTGATATCGCCGCGCGTACGAATCGAATCGTCAACAATGCAAAGTGTAATAAACCACGTGAAGGGCACCGCGCTGGGCGTCGCCGAGTACTTGACGCCGGTGCTGAAGGTAAATTCCCATCTACTTTTCGCATCGCTGTTTCGTTCGCCCGAAATCGCGGTCGTCGATAATTCGGAGTAGATTAGATATTTTCGATTAGCGTCGAACACGGCGAGGGGGATGGGCGGGGGGAGAGATGCACAGGATGTCCGGTAATCTTGATGAAATCCTGATATAATCAATGAAAGAAAAAGATGGGACGAGTAAAATACGTAGGATAGATTCTCTTTAATTCTTCAGGATTATACAACCTATGATAGAAAAATCATTTTATACTCAGTAAGCACAATGTTAACAGTATGCTTGCCAGCGCAGATTTGAGCAGAGCATTACAGTAGATTGGAGCATCAACTACATCTGCATTAAGCTCATGCTCTATTGACTTAATTTGATAGTAGATTGCTAGCACAGGAACCGAGCAGAATCCGTCATTTTGTAACCATTTTAATAGAACATATTTAAGTGCTGTAATATAAACAAATTCTGCTCTGTTTCTGCGGTCAATCCCACCATCATGTTAGCAGAGTTCTGTCAAAATTTATTTTCTACAGATCTGGTTATCTTGATAATTTTTACGCCCATAATATATGGTTAACGAAAAAGTTAGGTTAACTAAAACTTGAAAGTTAATTAAAACACGCTTCAATAAGCTTGTAATCAAATAAACCAAAGGGTTACATCAGTTGAGTTGCTATCAAGTTAACTTGATGGTTAATTTCCTAATCAAACGTCGTTAAATACACAAACAATAAACTTCTTGGTAATTTTTAACTTTTAGATAACCGTACATTGTGAAAATGGGCCTTATTATTTTCTTTTATATAAGACTTTTTTGTTAGCTGCATTGTGATTTATTGTACATTTGTGTGAAATTGCATAATTCTTTTAAGGAAAGTAAATTCCGGGAAACTGGTGTCTTGACACCGGAGGAGTTTGTAGCGGCCGGTGACCACTTGGTGCATCACTGTCCCACATGGCAGTGGGCTACTGGTGACGAGGACAGGGCCAAGGCTTACTTACCAAAGGGCAAACAGTTCCTGCTGACTCGTAATGTTCCCTGCACGCGTCGATGTAAACAGGTAATATCACAATGCCAAAAGTAGCACGTAATTCTCTCTCTATCTCCAATTTGTACATAATACAATACCATTTGTCCTTCATTTTGTAGATGGAATACAGCAACGAGCAAGAGTGTATTATAGAAGCTGACGATCCTGAGGGCGGTTGGGTGGACACCCATCATTACGCCACTAGTGTCGCCGGCCTGGACGAGAGAGTGACAGAAATGGCGTTGGAGGAGTCGCTGGGGGAGCCACCCCAACTTGAGGACAATGCGGACGAGGACGAGGACGATGAGGATGCCGCTGATATGGACGCTTTCGAAATTAGCGGCATGCTGGACGAGCAGGATAAGGTAAGCGAACACAAATCTGCGAAAGAAAGGAAGATTTCCTGAATTAATAATTGTAAAAAGCGACGTTTCCTTGTAGCACGCGGCGACGGAGAGCACTAAGAAAACTGGCCACGAGAAACGGGACTCGTTTACAGAGGGAGAGATCATTCGCACTCGCACCTATGATCTGTACATCACATACGATAAATATTATCAAACGCCCAGATTATGGTTGTTCGGATACAACGAGGTAAGACGCGGAATTTTTTTTATTTCTTTCCAATTTCTTAAATCTTTGAATTATTGCATCTTCTTCTAGATCCACTGTTACATTATTTATTTTATTATATTAGAATCGGAAGCCGCTTAGCGTAGAAGAGATGTACGAAGATGTTAGTCAGGATCATGCTAAGAAGACGGTTACAATGGAGACTCACCCGCACATACCTGGTCCTCCTATGGCTTCTGTTCACCCCTGCAGGTAAAAAGAAGGCGAAAGGTCGGATCTGAAGATCTCAAATTCGTTAGATTTACGAATGGAATTTTGATGGATTAAAGGATTTTTTTCTCGCTGTTTGCGCAGGCACGCGGAGGTGATGAAGAAAATCATGGAGACGGTGATGGAGGGCGGCGGAGAGTTAGGAGTACACATGTACCTTATAATCTTTCTGAAATTCGTTCAGTCGGTCATACCGACGATCGAATACGACTACACGCAAAATTTTATGCTAAATGCGGCTGGCTAAGCGCGTAGCTGGTGTTAAAGTTATCGGCATTATATTGTGATTAATATAAATTGCTTACCAACTGTATTTAGCGGATACGCGGGATAATTGTGTATCGATGTTTACTACGCTTTTCATCGTAAATGCGAAGGATCGTAAGGATATTCGAGATTATATGGATTCAAAAAGAATTTTCGTGTACGTACCTTGAGTTGACACTGTCGTGAATATTGAACAAACATCTAACTCCCGAGAATCCAAAGATATAAAATAAATTGCACGGATCTCGAACGTTCAGCATTTAAAGATCCATTTGTACACTCGTCCTAATTAATTTTAAGCGAATACGTTACACCTCCACAAGATACTTTTTTACATTGCAAGATACTGAGTTGAATAGATCTTTAACTTTACAGCCGTTAGACAATAAGCGAGGAATAAAGACTACGCTGAAAGCAACGAATGGAATCAACGGAACAAGAGCGAGACAGAGAGAGAGGTAGAGAAATACGGAAGTCATTTCCTATTTCTTATATGTTTATATTTAAGCTAATTATTTGTTAACTTATCATTTACGAAAAAAAGCTTAAATATTTATCAACATTGGTTACAGCTAATTATTAGGAAAATAAATTGGAATATTCCAAACATTACCTGTGTGTGACCAAGTTACTTATCGTTCATAGTCACGGCGAGACGACTAAAATTTAGCCTTTTCCGGTCGAACCGTTTCCCCTCTGATTTATTCACTTACACGTTTCAAGAAGATACACATAATTATTTGCATTCAACCGGTAATCCGTGACATTCCCATAAATCTACCAGTGCATAAATTAACATGAGTGCGATTAAATAAGCAGTTGACAGAATAATGGGGTGCGCAATGTCACACTTGTTGTTTTATGAGGTTTTAGATATAGTTGATATAAATTAGACATTATAGATAAGAACTTAATTACTATTTTATTGAAAGACACTGTTTTTATCTTCTCCATCATTAATTTCTTACTTTTTTCGTCGCTTTAATTAATAAAGTAATAAGATATTAATAAATTAACTAATTAATAAAATTCTACAATTTTTTTTCTAATCATGACTTAAAAATATTTTAGTGTTGAGATACCTCAATATTGGAACAGTAAATAAAATATATAAAATATATGTTGTGATAAAAAAATCGCGTAAATTAGGTGATAACATATTTCCTATAGAATATGTTATCAATAATTTTGCATGTTCAAAAAAATATATAAATATGGAAATTACAGTGTCCTAATATCAATGAAATTTTACAATTACGTACGCGCATTTGTAACGCACTTCTGAGTGGTAAAAAGGGTAATAACTATAATTAACTATAATATTATTTTATCGTTAAAATATAAGCAGCAGCAACTGTACATATAATTCGGTATATACAGCGTGTCCATAAAATCACACACACACACACACATATGGTAATTTTAAAATGCTATAACTTAGTAAGGAGACAAGTTAAAGACACGAAACTTGCACGTAATTGAAAAGCTAGTGAAATATTTTCTATTGAGTAACGTGGACTTAAAATGACGAATCTGCTGCCTTATATCTGGCGTTCTTGATTGTGTACATACGGCAATACATATAATTTATATAATTTAAAACATTACGAATTTTACGAAGTACAAGGAAATGATTAATGGAAAATAGACTTACAGTTTTTGTTAATATTTTTAATGAAAGATAAACTCGTACAGTTTTTGCTAACATTTTCAATGCAGATCGATGTGATACTCGCTTATCGCCCTGTAGAAATCTAAGCGGAATATTCCATTTCTTGCCATACGTACCAAGAATATCAGATGTGACGAAAGTAACACCTTCTATGATTCATCATTTATTATAAGCCTGCGTTATTCGATAAAAAATGTTTGATCTGTTCTTTAATTATTTGCAGATTTCATATCTCTAATTTATTTCCTTTCTGACAATAAGTTATAGCATTTTAAAACGCTATATAGCAAATTTATAAAATTAATCAAGTATTTTTTTTTTCTTGTATTTAGCATGAACAACTCTCTGTTTTCCAAATACAGGAAGAATATCTCCGACGTTTGACACGTGTGTGTTCTTTACACACAGTAAAGCAAACAGGGCGATATTAGATAACAAAATGTCTCATAAATTTAACAGTGAATAAATTAGCAACGTGGCTTCTTATAATGCTGTGCGCAAAAAAAAATTGGTTTATTCAGAAATTCTTGTTCGGTAGGATCTTCGATCAAAACTACGATGAGCCACACTTTTCGACAATTTGTTTTTGCCATTGTGATAATATACGCGACCGCGATTGGTAAGTACTGGCTTCCAATAGTGAATTCAATTCAACTATACAATAAAGAAAATTTGCAAAGAAAATTCAACTTGGTTGATTTATTAAAAAAATATATGATTATTTTATTAGACATCTGTCAGTAATACTTTTTTGAGTGAATTTCGAAAATCTCAATTAAGTATATTCTTAAGAAAATGTTTATATGTATATTGAAGAAATATTTTTTATTTTAAATTTTTTGTCTGTCTTATTCAAATATAAGCGATGTTTAATACATAAGAAAGAAAAATTCACAAAATCTATTTTTTCGTATAGGCGGAGCGCCCAGCGAGGAGGAGCTCGAGAGCATCTTTCTACGTGTTTATGTCGGGTACTTATTTTTAAACTTTCGATTTCTTTCATCATATTTTCAATGCTTGAAATTCTTGGGATAAAAAAGAATTAATAAAATTTTTCGTGACTATCAGTTTTCTTTGGCGCAATATAAAATAAATTCTCGATGAATCTATTTTCGTGTCGATCCAAACTTAAGATTTCTCTTTTAGAACTACTATAAATGAATATGTCGACTACTCGTTGGAGAACGTTAGCGCGATCACATCTCAAATAAATAACAATAAGCCGACGGTGTTGTACATTCATGGCTTTTCGGAAAATTTGGCATCAGAGAGCGTACGTACGGTGGTGCAAGGTATATCTTAATGACGTATAACGTACATTACTGTGTTATAAGAAGCAAATTAATAAAATGTAAATTATTTTTCATCTTTTTAGCTTACTTGAAGAGAAACGATCACAATATTATCGGAGTCGATTACAGTCAATTAGCGAACGACTCGTATGTAACAGTGGTAATAAATGCCCCTCACGTCGCAGATGCCCTCGTGACGGCTCTCGATGAAATGGCAAAATCGGGCTTTGATACAGAAAAATTGCATATCGTCGGGCACTCCATGGGCAGTCAGATCTCCGGCTATATCGGCAGAAAAGTTAGCTTTCAGGTTCCCAGAATTACGGGTAAAAGTTCACAAGCTTTTTATCAATTAATTTTGTCTCGATTTTATTAATGTATCACTGCTTAATATATAGCATCAAAGTATCTTTAAATAACGAGAAACTTTAAAATATTTTGATCATTTTCCTCTTTTTCTCTTTCATACAAAATTCACAATAACAAAATAATTCAAATTTATTAATTTATTGTTAACTATTGTTTAATTTACATTTTCAGAAATAAAAAATTTTCATTTTTTTCAAAAAAGTAAAATCTGTATTCTTGCTATATTTCAATCTTGATACTAAAAAATCGAAATAATTATTCACGAAACAAAATAATGGTAATACATTTGCAAATTGGCAGAAAATCAGAATTTTATATCAAAACCGGTGCCGTCTATGTTTTTATTAGACGTGTTTTGCTTGTAAAATTTGCTGCTCATGTAAATGAGAGCATATTAGCGCAAAAAATCGTGTAAAATTTACTATCATTTTATCAGCAGCGAGTTTTCTTATTTCTGTTAATTGCGCTTTTACAAACATTAATTTAACGAATTAACGAATTTTGTATCTAATTTATCGCCTTTCTGTCAAGAAAATATGTTGCTAACGTTTGGCAAAATATGCTTTTCTACGATTCGGCTAAGTACTTAAAGATATTTTTGTATAGGACTGGACCCTGCCGGTCCCTTTTTCAATTTTATCCAGCCTCGCCTTTCGCTGTCCGACGCCCGTTTTGTGGATATCATACACACGGATTCTGGATTTTATGGTATTGCCATGACTACGGGAACAGTAGATTTTTTTCCAAACGGTGGTAAACGCATACAACCCGGCTGCCCGGAACATCCTACATTTTATAGCACAGATGGTACATTTTCTTTCTTAGAAATTAGAGCTGAATGGATTGTATTTTTTACCGATGTGTGTACCTTTTATCATCTTTGATTTTCTCATTTCAGATTTCTGCAGTCATCATTATTCCTGGAAATTCTATGCCGAGTCTGTGATCGACGAATCTGTCTTCTTGGGCATGCAATGTTCTTCGTTATCTCAGTTTGACTCCGGCAAATGCATTAATAACACACAGATCGTCATGGGATATGCCACTCCGAACACTGCGTAAAAATTTTCTAAATTTGAAAGAATCAATTTAAAAAGAAGATTCTAATTTTATAAAATTATACCTTTGCGAAAAATTTTCTTAGATTTCTTTACATATCTTTTATAATTCTTATATAAGTTCAATGATCTTATAAGTTTAAAATTTTAAAACTTATTTTTAAAAATTTCTCAGATTTTTTTATAGGAATAAGAATATAAATCTTTTCAGAAATATTGAAAAAAATCTCTAAAATCTTCTATATATTACATAAATTTTAAAATATTCTAAGATTTCTCATATTCTATCATTTCCGAAATAAAACTTACAAAATTATAAAGAAGAACTTCAAGTTATCTTTTCTAGAACTCTTCATTAATTGAAAATATGAAATTCTTAAAAATATTAAAAGAATCTTTTTCACTAAAAGGTAATTTATTTTAAATGTCTAAAATTACAAAAATATTTATTTTTCCCTTTTTTCTCAGGAAAGGAACTGTCTATCTTGTGACGAACGATCAAAGTCCTTTTGGATTGGAGAAGCGAGGACTTATCTCGAAGAACTGATCGTGTTACGTTGAGAATTGCAATAAAAGGAAAGGATACCGCAAGATTTCTAGAAGAAAGGAATAACAAATTCTCTTACTAGTATGAAAGAAAAAAACTAGAAAGTGTATCGACTTCTGCGACGCGCACACTTTATTATGCTACATTCGTTATATATTAATGGACAATCGAACGCAATTCTTACTTCTTCGTAATAATCGTCGCTATATTATTATTCCGCGTATTCAGATGTCTTCTTGCCTTGCGCATGAAATAATAATGTCACCATTAATTCAAGGTCCAATCGGCAGTTGTCATCACCATTGCGATTCGCGATATATTCTTGTAATTCAAGTTCAAATTTATTAAAAATGCAAAGCTGACTAGATAACTGAAGTACTAGATAACTGAAGTTCGAGAAGTAATTAAAGTATATAAATTAAAGAAGTATTATATGCCAGCGTCCAAGACTCGCGGGTATCGATCGATCGCGACGATGATACAGGGGGGTAGCGAACGCAGCAAATTCATTCTAACGTTCATTTTTAAATAAGACGGAATAAGGCTGCAGAACTCACCGTAATAACTGTGACATATACCTCTAATAGCATACGGATAGTCTTTGTAGAATTGCATGTAATGTTTCATGAAACGATTAGCAAAACTTATTTATGCATGAATTATCTATTGCGGAAGACAAAGTAAATTTCTAAGTAAAAGGGAATAAAGGAAAGCGATACGCGGTGTATGAAATGTCGATGCGAGAAAATGGACAATATAATAGCATCCTGAGAACGTTGAATTGTCTTTTGTAAGAAATATTTTTATCGAGACTTTACCTAAGATCCTCGCGTGAGACCCTTCCCTTTGGAACTTTTAACCGAGAACGATGCACACACTTCCCTTATCGTTCGCGCTGTTGACGTACACCGGATACTGGCGACCCGTTCACTTGACATCCATCAAATACTGGGCATACATCGTTTATTCTATCGCGATGATTTTTCTACTT